AGGATATTTTTGTAAGTACCCCTTCATTATTTGACTGAGGCAATAAATAAAAAATGAGGAAATTACACAAAACTTTACTTTTCAAAATTTAAATTCTAAAATCAGATATGAAGTTTATTTTTTCCAAAATCAGATATTTTGTATATAGATACAGATTTTTTATATTTAATTAAATATTAATAATAATATTATAAAAATTAATTTATATCCCACCCCACGTTAAATCCCCAAATCAAACCTAGAATTTATTTCTTTCCCCCCCGTCCAGTTCTCTCCTTTCCATCTCTGTCTTCTCCCTTCTCCCACGACGGCGCTTGCAACACCACCACCAATTTCAGGTTCGGTTTTAATGTAGAAATTGAAATCTGGGGTTGCGGATTCCTTACCTTGCCGAAATCGTTGTTTCTGTGGTGAAGAGCAGTGCGATGACCCGATGAATTTTGTTACCGATCTGTCGGCGATGTCTTCCTCTCTGTCCTTTCTATTTTTTATTTTTTTTAGTGGTGCGGTGGAGGTCTTTCGTGTGGCGGAGGATGATGCTAACTCCTCATTGCATATTTTCATCAAAATCCTTTTCCAAAAGTTGTGAAAGATGTTCGGAAATCACTTATTGAAAGAACAATTGAATAATCCAGAATTGCAAAGATCAGTGATTTCTATTTTCCCCAAGGATAATCCAAGAAACTTGAGATTTTCTGTCAATTTTTTCACTTCAATTGGACTTGGATTTCTCACTAACAACCAGAGGAAATTACTTGAAGATATCGAGAATCCCAGAGGTTAGTTTCTAATAAGAATAGGTGGGTGCGGTGTCTGTGCGTGTGGTTGGTGGTTTGCGTACAGCCCCATCGTGTTGGCGGTGGATCGGGAGCTGCGTGCGTACGGTGGCTGTCGGAGTGGAGTTGGTGTTGGGACTGGGGGGTTTTCTATTTTTTTTGTTGGTGTTGGTGGTGGCGGTTACGCACGTGCAGCACCATGGTGATGTTTTGTGGATCTAATAATTTCTATGGGGGTGGCGGTGATATTGTTGGTGCCAGAGATTTTCATGGTTTTTGGTTTTTGGATCTAATAATTTCTGTGAGGCTGTGTTGGCGACGTTAGTGATGGTGGTTGTGGTGAGTTGTCGGTCGTGGTGGCAGCGACGGAGTAGGGTTAGGGCATGTAAGACGGTGGTGGTGGTGAGGTGGTGTTGTATAGTTTATGTGACCAATTTTGTGACCTGAGCCATATGATGTGACCTATGCTGTGACCTGGGCCATGTATTGTGACATATGCTGTGACCCATGCTGTGACTATAAAAAAAAATCTGAGCGTTTGAAAATAACATGTGACCGATAAACAAATTGTGACCTATAAAATTTTTGACATGTGCTGTGATCATTTGAAAATAAGTTGTGACTATGAATAAAATTCTGATTTGTGACCTGAACTGTGACTTGTGACTTGAGTTATAATCTGAACTGTGACTTGTAACCTGAGTTGTGACCTGAACTGTGACTTGCGACTTAAGTTGGAGCAGTCGTTGGAACGGCCACCGAAATCGGAATAGTCGCCTGAACGATCGCCGGAGCAATCGCCAGAGCAGTCGCCGAAAAAGCTGCCGGACCGGTGGGGGGTGGTGGAGGTGGAGGTGGGGGTGGGGGTGGGTTAATTGTGTATATATATATATTTATTTATTTATATCTTTTTATATATTTAAATATATAAAAAATATATTTATAAATATGTGTATATATAAGTCAAAAAATCTGATTTTTGGAATGTAAAAATTGTTTTATTATTTTTGAAATA